AAGAGCATTTCTGAACACAAGTGCAGGAAGAATTTTACTAATTTTAACTTCGTTGTGCACTTTCAGAAACATTTCTCTTAAATCATGTCTTTCTATTGGATTAAAAGAAAATATGGTTCTTCTATTGTTAATTCATGTTGCATTGATCTTTCTGGACACTTGACAATTTTAATTTTTATTGGTTTATTGTTGAATTTAAATATCCTTACATATACCCTATTTCAGGCCAGAGAGCACTGCCTGTGCCTCTTGCAGGAAGCATTACATGGCCACCAGGGGGCAGAAGACGCATTCAGGTACTTATGCAGAGACATGTTTCAAACATCATTCATACATAGTTCATTTTCTGCAGAAATGTCGCTCCACATTGTCTTTCATGTCTTCTCGCGTCTGTCTCTCAGCTGTGACACCCTGTCTTTAGCGGTGGATATCGAACACGAGGTCTTCAAGAGCTGCAAGTCTTCCAACTTGTACAAAGCCGCTGTCTTAAAGAGGGTAAAATGACTGATTGTTCTGCCTGTCACATCGTCACTGGTGGAAGATCTATTCCTGAACTCGTGTCTTGTTTCAAAGGTGTCGGAGATGAAGAAAACAGCAACTGCTTCAACCGGAGGAGAAAAAGGAGAAAGTGACAAGATTAACAGCAGTGGTGAATCCGGAGAAAGTGAGTCGAAACTCAAAGAGGACGCACCTTCCTCCTCCTCCTTTTCTGAGGCGCTGCAGGGGTTCACATCTGCCTCTGAGATCTACTCGGTAAGCTCTAGTCTACTACACCCTTGCTTTATCTAGTTTACAAGCAGTTATTGTGGATTCCTAATCCAGATATACACCCTTACTCCTTTTTTTTCCCATTATTCATCCAGATGAAGCGTAAAAGGGTAGGGGCAGGCCTGAGGGGCTCATCCAACCCCTTCCTGACAGCGAAGGATCTGCTGAAGCAGGACACTGTGTCTTCTAACAAAGGGACAGAGAGCGGTGGATTTTACAGCGACAGCTTAGGAGGTCCTGGAGAGACGAACACAGATGCATCTCTGGCTGTAACGTCATCCATCAGAGCCAGAGCGAGTGCCGTTGCTGCCTCCCTCAACAGCCCCGCGAAGGGCGGCAGAGCCATGAGCAAGAAGCAGCAGAAGCTAGCGGAAGCGGCAAAGAGTTCCCGCAACATTTTCCAGTACTTTACGAAAAAGCAAACGACAGAGAAAAGCCCGAAGGAGGAGGCAGAGGAGGGACTTGATGCTACGTTGTCTCATGCTACCACAGTGGTCCCTGAAGATAACAGTAGCCAGCAGGATGACTCCGCTGTCACTGTGGAGGCTGTACAGATCAGTCCTGTGGACTCAGAGATTGAGGAAGTGTTTCAAGAAGAAAGTAAAACAAAAGTAATAATTATACCCGATGATGAAGAGGGGGAAATCCATAAAACAGAGATGATGGAGCTTGAACGTGTGCCAGACACATCGAATGAGTCCACTACGGAGTAAGAAACCGTCAATGCAGCATTTTAAGATGGTGGAAAACTCTTGTTCTCTCAACTCTAACATTATTTTCTCCCACACAGACAAAACAAACCAGAAGAAGAAGCTAAAGAACCCCTAACAGCAGGGGTAAGCGTCTGTTTCCTGTATAATCTTCAAGACTTATTTCCTGCCCGGTGACTGATTGTGTGTGTGTGTGTGTGTGTGTGTGTGTCCAGCTTACAGATGTGAAAGTGGACAGAGAGTCTTCTCCTCCAGCGAAGCGCAGACGCCCTGCAGACGCCCGCAACCGAAGAGTAACCTTCAACCCCAACGTGCAGGAGAGGGCCCTGCACCCCGTTAATGAGCCGCCCAAGCCTGTGTCGCTGAAGGAGGCAGCTGACATTGTGGTCCGCTACCTGGACCCCTTTTACACTCAGGGAAAGTTCGCCACCAAGGTGAGCGGGGCGGATATCGTGTCGTGTTTGCAGAAAAAGCAGTGTGAAAGTGAGGAATTCTCAGCTGTGGCTTTCTTTGGTTGTAGGAGCTGTTCAAGTCCTTCGCCCGCTACTTGTCTCACCTTCTTGCAGAGGGGAGGAGTCGGGGGAAAGGCCAAGGTAAGCAGAGGACTAAACATCTAAAACTTTGCCGCATGCGGCTGACTCTAATGCTTGTCTCTGTGTCTGCAGTTAAAGTGGAAGCCAAGGCTCTCATCAAGAAATTCTTCAGCACAGTCAAGCGCTGTGAGAGCGAGGCGGACTGGAAGCACCTTAAAAGATCGCACAGCTGTAAAACCACAGAGAACACTGAGTGACGGGAAGGGAAATGTAGCCATTTTTAGGGTCAGACCCTTCCTCTTTGTCAGTGCCTAAGCTTCCCTCGTCCCAGTGATCTCAGGCTTCGCCACAGACGCCTGCCGACCAGGTTTATGTTTAATTTGCTGCTAGAGTTCTGCTTTTCAGGCTTGTTGCTGCTACAGTAACTTATGTCAATAATTAAGCAATAACATGTGGACTGTTAAAGCCTGAGAGAGCAGAGGTAAAACTGTGCATACTGGTGTTCTTTATGTTTCAGCCCATTTACTGAAGAGTGTGTACACTTCACATTCATTTATTGATTTCACTACAGTTTTAAACTTTACTGGTGCTGCACTCATTTCTTTTCATCTCAGGCTGCATGTAAACCTAAAACATGTTCCAACTCTCTGCAAGTTGATTTTCATATTGAGATGAGATAAATGGAAATCAAAGACCTCTTGGAATTACCAAGACTATGACGCTACGGTCATGCTATTAGCTCTGTGAGGCAGTTACCGTGAGCCAAATGCTAACATCAGTATGCTAACATGCTCGCAGTGACAGTGCTAACATTACACCTAATGTTCAGCAGGTGTAACGTTTATCAGGTGCACCATTTTAGCTTAGCGTGTTGGCATGCAAACATTTGCTAGTTGACACTAAACACTAAAGCGTACAGCTGAGGCTGATGGGAATGTCATTAGCGTTGCAGGTGTTAAATAAACGGTGTCGCACAATATCAAATCTTTTGGCCTGACTGCCAGGTGGAAGGTTAAGGGATCACCAAGGTCAGTAGGGTCCATCCTCTGGGGACCATTTACGTTCGCAATCTATCTAATAGTTGATGAAAGTGATGGACCAACCAACATACCAACGGACATTTCCATCCAGAGCCGCACAGCACGGTTAGAAACGCACTGTGGAGATGGTTGACAGTAATGTGAGGAATACATCGTTTGCAGTAAATGGGGATAAAACATTCAAAAACACTGGAATGATGTTTTAATATTTGACATAAACCAGGTCCTGTGTTGCGGGAGCCTAATGGACACTGCTTTTTTTTTTACTGCTGCTACATATGTTGTCTTTGGCTGCTGGGCTGTGTTTTTTCTTTGGTGTTTGTGTTTTCTTTTATTTAAAACTAAGTTCAGTTTTGTCTGGTTCGTGTCTCTTGCAGAATGATGTTTTTCTGTTTGTTTTTTTAATGTTGTGTTTTACAATGAGGGAACGGTTCTTCAGTATTAGTGCCTGTCGGGGCTGTGATGGGCCACAGTTTCTGTCTCCACAGTGAAGAGGCGACCCAAAGAGTACTTGAAGCACTGATGGACACAGAGGTCTGGACAGCCATAGTCTATCTTCTCTTTGCTCCTAAATGTTTACAATAAAGTCTGTGGTGAGTAGGAAGAGACCGGCCACAGTGTGAGACCTTTACTGTGTGTCCATGCATCATCACTGCTGTCTTCAATCAGACTGTTCAACTTATTGGAGGGGGAGGAAGGGAGGGAGGAGGGGAGGAGATGTCCGTGTCAGGGGACGCTGCAAAATACAAGGTGACGTCACCTCCAGTAGTGCTGCCTTCAAGTGCCCCTTGTAACTTTGAATGTCCCACATTCAGATACCAAAAAGGAAGGGTAAAAAAAGATGACATCCATTGAGAACAACATGGCGGCAGTGTGTGTGGTGTCCATTGTAGGGTTACGTTTCAAATCAAGATTAAATGGCTGGCCCATGCTTGGTAAATACTGATAAAACACAATTTGCTGGCATTATACACCTTTGAACACAATATAAACTTACATCATAAGGGCCTTTAAATTAATCCGCCATTATTGTTTAATATTTAGGCCCTGTCTTAAATCCACGTGTCAAAATCCAGCCCCAAGACTAGACTCATTATTTCAGTTTTGTGCTTCTTCTAGTCTAGGTTTTATAGAAGTCCACCAAAGTCCACCAAATCACCCACTCAAGCAGTTAGGATCACCTACACAAATAAAAATATGTAAACTTTTCTCAATATGGACAATACAGATCATTAGTCTCCACAAATCAGTCATTCAGTTCATTTTACTGAAACCATGAGCACCAACGTATCACATGATCAAATGAATCATTTGTAATTGGTATGCTATTTGATAGCCTAATTTTTTATAAGTAATACTCTGGTTTAAATAAACAATTAGTATTTGACAAGAGGAACTGAAGGGCTGTGTCATATAGACGCCTGTTCCAAATAGTGAAATAAAATCCTGGGCTATTAACTGAAATAAGCAATAATAAAACAACAAAGAGTGCCCACGTCTGACAAACAGGATTTCCGACAGCACATGAACGCAGCAGCAGCAGCAGCAGCACTCAGTGAGCTGGAGCGGGCTGTCAACCTGCGTCTGCAGGGCCCCGCTGCGGCTGCACATCAAACACTGAGGAGACAGACACAAGGGACACTGAGGGCTCCTCCACCGACTGTGTGTCTCACGGCTGCAGGTCTGAACGGCCTCATGTGGCTTCGTTCGCCTCTGCAGATGCCTTGAAGGAGCAGGTGCGCTGCCGGGGAATTTTTTTTTTTTTTGTGTGCCTTTAAGTAAATTGTCTCAAAGGGTTACACACTTGGCGAGGCTGCGCCGCTGTTGTTTGTTGTCACTTCCGGTCCGTGAATTAGCAGATCACGTCGCCGGTGAAGAAGAAGTTCATCAGCATCGATGCTCCGTGCAGGCAGGATGGAGGAGTTTGTCACGGAGGAAGAGGAGCCGTGGTACGATCAGCGGGACCTGGAGCAAGGTGAGGCATCATTGTTTCTCCTGTGTCATGTGTCAGGTGTGT